CTTAATGGAGGCAGCTCACCAGGCTTATCCCTTCTCCCTCCACTCAGTGATCTTGATCCACTCTTGCTAGGAGGTACAGATCTTGGGGATGCGACAACCTTGGGCCTCAGCCAACTCTTGCCCCCAACGCGAGACCTTCCACATGATTTCTTGCCCCCATCTTCCACACCAACCTCAGGTGACCCCTTCTCCTTGTCCTCTCTTGGGGTGAAATCTAGCCTCAGCTTGGAGGTTATGCGAGGTCAGCCTTCTTCATCAGGAACTGGTGTGTCTGTCCAGTCCCAGCATCAGCCCAGCAGCCTGAGTCAGGCAGAAAAGAACCAGCAGATGGTTAGTCTTCTTGGAGGAATGAGCATTCATGATAGTATCTCACATTCTAACATGAACAACCTCACCAGCCATTCTCTAGGAGCACTTGCAGCATTATGTACACCCAGTCTCTCTACTCAGTCACCTGGCCAGGCAAATGCATCCCATAATGGACATTCTCTTGCAAATCGACCTCAGTCCTCACCAAAGTATTTGAACTCACAGCTCTCCATATCAGCCAATGGAGACATATCTCCCAGCATGATGAGAAAAGAGGAGCGCACTATATGCGCCACATCACAGAGTGGTCAGGGTTCCCCTTCAGAGTCAAGGATGTCAGACCAACACACAGGACCAGGGAAGGAAGGTCTTGGGCACTGTGGACCTGTAGGACCCCCCCCAAAGGGTCCCTTTTTGGTTCCTCCTCCAACATTCCCACCAAATGACAGTGTTCCTCCATGGGAATTGCTGCCTCCACTTGGAGATATCTTTCCACCCCATGGACCCCCTCCTCCACTACTGCCACCAAACACAGATCTTCTGCCTCCGTTTGCAGATCTTCCTCCCCATCCTCTCCTCTCTGTGCCACCACCATTATTGGGATTCAGACATTTTAGGTAAGATGAGTAAGTGTATTTTTCATTATTGGCATAAGAAGTTTCTTTATTATTTTTTTATGGATTCCAAAAGATATTTTGATGTTTTTAATTTTTTTTCTATCTCGTTAAGGCGAACTGGAGGAAGTGGCGAACTGCACTCACGCCTTGAAGAATGCTACGACCAATTTCGACAGCTGGAGCGTGAAAGAAAAAAGACTGAAGCAGAACTGGCTCGATGTTTTCCTGGCAAGCGTGTGTCTTCAGCGAACACTGTACCTCTCCCTCGCCTTCCTCCTTCTCCTTCACGAGTCGACCGTCTAATCATTGATCACCTACGAGAACATGCCAGGGTAATTGTAAATTTAGAGTTGTTTTAACCTATTGATGCTGCATTCTATTATATGGCTCAAAATATGGGTATTATCCCCTTCCCGACGGGATCACATTGTGAGGCATCAAAACAAACTGCTCGATATGTGGCATGCAGCTGTACGCTGTGGTGGCGCACAAAAGTGCTATGTGCCGGTGCTTCGGCTTGGTATACCAGGCTGCGAAAAATCTTTTTTTTCACTTGTCCATGAGGACTTTCCACTCGTCCTCTTCTGAATACCACTTGTCCGAAATATTTATATATATATATATATATATATATATATCTTATATATATATATAAGTATATATATATATAAATATATATATAATAATATATAATATATATAATATATATATATATCTCTATATATATATAATATATCTAAAATATATATATCTATATTATATATATTTTAGATATATTATAGATATTATATATATTAATATATAATATATATATGTATATTATATGTTCCTCCTCCTCCTCCACGTCTCCTTATTCCTCCTCCTCCTCCTCCTCCTCCTCCTCCTCTCCTCCTCCTCCTTCTCCTCCTCCTTCCTCCTCCTCCTCCTCCTCCTCTCCTCCTTCCTCCTCCACCGTCTCCTTATTCCTCCTCCTCCTCTCCTCCTCCTCCTCACCCTCCTCCTTCCTCCTCCTCCTCCTCCTCCTCCTCCTCCTCCACCGTCTCCTTATTCCTCCTCCTCCTCCTCCTCCTCCTCCTCCTCCTCCTCCTCCTCCTCCACCGTCTCCTTATTCCTCCTCCACCGTCTCCTTATTCCTCCTCCACCGTCTCTTATTCCTCCTCCTCCTCCACAAAGTGGATATGCTCCTAGAACTGAAGTCTTAAGATATGAAAAGTCTTTCCAAATGCTGTGCTGCGGAAGGGGATGGAATAGGATGGTTTTTATATCTAAAGGGACCAATTATTTCAGTTGGTTAGCAACTTACATAATCTCAGCTATAAAGTCATGGTTCTTGCAGTTCCTTACAAGTATTTAGATAGGTATTATGAAGGTAGTTAACAGGAAACTTAATTTGTGCATATCCTATTGATAGTGCTTTGTGTAAACTTATTGTACATTTGTCTTTTTATGGATAGGTTGTCACTCTAGTGGGGAAGATGGAGCGACGCGAGGATAACCTCTTCAGCCTGGGATTCTACCGATCTAGTTGCTGTCTGGCATGAAGCAGTTACAAGTGTGCAGGAAAAGCGTCGTGA